TCGCACTGTCCGCCTCACATATACATAGGCTTCGAATGTTAACAAATCATAGGTTTTGTGCCAATGTTTTTAGGACTTTAGGAGACTGCATTTTCCCTTTCAGACCCAAATTTTTGGAACAAAATAATATTAAAGTTGGGAGACTTGAGTCTAGTTAAGGTCATGCTGGCCTGGCCCCAGGCCGGGCTCGGGGAGTAGAACTCTGGAAACAATCTCCAGGTAAGCTCCAGGTATCCTTCTGACATACTAATATGGGTATGACAGTGTCAGGCCACGGAGGAAAATTGAAACAGGAATTTCCTTAAGTACTTTCGTATATTAATACATCTTCAGAAGGAGTATTCTTCTGAAGATGAGTATTCTTCATTCAGAAGGAGTATTCTTCTGAAGATGTATTAATATACGAAAGTACTTAAGGAAATTCCTGTTTCAATTTTCCTCCGTGGTCTGACACTGTCACATTTTTAATCACGTGTTTATTTTCGTGATTTACACACTTATATGGGTATGTTTGTATCATAGTGGGTTATAGTTATATAAGACGGGGTCCAAAGATTATAAACCCTCAAGTCTGTGCTGCGGAGCAGGTTGTTAATATGTGCTATTGTCAAGCTCTTGCAGGAGACGTTTTCAAGTGCTTGGAAGCAGACTGAATCACGGAAAACTATTCCTTCTGTCTCTTATTGTATTGATTTTTTGTATTAATACATTAGGTACATCTGCATTTGTGCAGCTGCCCTAGACTATATGAAGGAGCGTACAGTGTGTCAAAAAGCTAGCTACGTGATACTAAAACTCCCCATCTCGCAGGATGGTTAGTCATACAGAGGCATGTGATCAGTAGTCTGCCCTGGCAGACTCTGGGAGCATTATGAGGATATCATCAACACAAGAGTGAATAAGGTAGCAGTGGTAATACAAGTCCTCATCTCGCAGGATGGTTAGTCATACAGAGCCATGTGTTTAATAGCCTGCACTGGCAAATGTTGGGTACACTGTGAGGATATCTTCAAGAATACGAGAGTGAATAAAGTAATTGCAAAGCTCCAGGTACCTCATGCCAACTGGTCTGAAAGGTCTAATAACTGGGCATTCAGTGATGTAGTGCGGGAGATCATGCCGTAGTTCCTGCTCACAGAGTTTGCAACTGGAGTGCTCAGGATTGGGAGACCCGTCACCTGCAGCCACCTGCCACAGGTAACGGTAACCCAACCTGATCCTTGCAACCACTGTGTCGCACAGTCTAGTGGACATTTTGTGCTGTCCATAGATGTAGGTTTCAGATCTGAACAAATCATAGCTTTTTATACTAGTACTTTCAGGTCGTTGGGAGTCAGTACGTTCTTTCCTATCAGATCTGAATGTTTGGACCAATACAGTTATAACAGCAGAGATGGGGATACCTAGATCTAATTCAACTTCAAACTTGTTACACGCTAATTTAGCTGCAATGTCTGTCTCATTATGATGGGTTATATTTATGTGTGAAGGTATCCATACAAAGGAGATTCGAGACCCTTTACTCTGTGCATCAATTAGGTCATTTATAATTGGGAGTATGAGGTTCTTGCTGTCGATCTTCCAAGAGAAGTTTTCGATTGCTTGAAGAGCAGACTTTGAATCGCAGAATATTATTCCTCCTCCAATATTTTTTAATGTGCTGGTTGCTAAATGTAATGCTGCTAGTTCTGCTTGTGTGGAGGTCAGCCAGTTGTTTAACCTGACACTGACAGACTTTGTGCAGATATTATTTCTATAAAACCTACATGCCGCTGCAGTCCGTCCAGTAGAAGACTGGACTGAGCCGTCGGTGTAGACACAGTGCTCGTGAGATCTTAGACTCTCGATGGAGGAGGCAATTGTTTCAAGAGTGACAGCTTTGAGTAGAGCAAGATTCTCATTATCTTTCTTGGTGACAGGTGTGTATGATACTTGAATGGTGGGGCACAGATAAAGAGGAATATCAGAGACAAGTAGATTGCACTTAAAAGCAATGTTAAGCTTAATGAACTTCAGACCTTCACCAAATAAATCTACGGTTGTCCCCCATAACATTTCATTACATCACCGAAAATAGTCAGACAATAGTCACAACTTGTATTAAGCAAATGTTATCGCAAAATTGTGCTTACAGAGGTTGAGCTTCGGCTCTGTGGTCCCGCTTCTCGACATCCAACCAACTGGTATACAGGTTACAGAGCCTGTTGGGCTCTGTTATAGCTACATATGATGATAGTTTTGTTGTCAGGTTCCACCACCATTTTTCTCTTTATTGACTTCACATTTGTGAGGATAGTGAGGCAGAGTGGGTGGGGGATAGTGAGGCGGTGTGGGTGGGGGATAGTGAGGGGTTAATGACGGGGTGTAGTCTGATAGGGTTTAGGAGGGAGCGTAATGGTGTAGATGGTGTAACCATTCACCATCTACACACCTCATTCCTCACACCTCTCCTGTGGCTCCTCACTAATATATACATCTCAGGTACCTACAGCTGCTCATGAAATACAATTACACTGTACTCTCAAAAAGTACTTTAGAAAGGAGACGAGAGAGATACCAAATAATATACACATGGAAAATACTGGAGGGTCAGGTCCCAAATCTACACAGTAAAATAACAACGTACTGGAGTGAACGATATGGAAGAAAATGTAGAATAGAACCAGTGAAGAGCAGAAGTACCATAGGCACAATCAGAGAACACTGTATAAACATCAGAGGTCCAGTGAAGAGCAGAAGTACCATAGGCACAATCAGAGAACACTGTATAAACATCAGAGGTCCAGTGAAGAGCAGAGGTGCCATAGGCACAATCAGAGAACACTGTATAAACATCAGAGGTCCAGTGAAGAGCAGAGGTGCCATAGGCACAATCAGAGAACACTGTATAAACATCAGAGGTCCGCGGTTGTTCAACGTCCTCCCAGCGAGCATAAGAAATATTGTCGTAACAACCGTGGACATCTTCAAGAGAAAACTATATAGTTTTCTCTTTAAGAAGTGCCGGACCAACCAGGCTCTGATGGATATGTGATGATTATTGATGAAGATTAAGCCACCCAAGAGGTGGCATGGGCATGAATAGCCCGTAAACTGTCTCCCTGTTGTTTTAGCTACTCAGAACGAAGTGTCTATGTAGCACGGGCTATGGTGAGCCCGTAATGTCTCTATTGTTTCTCTTACACGTGTGTGAGTGGTTCTGGCACCACCTCGCCTCACCATGCCACAGTTAGATCATCTATACCAGGAACCTTTCCCCTCTCTGACCTACTCATAGTTTTAATAATTTCCAACCCTCTCTCTCCTCCCGTTTAGCTGACTACCTCTTCCCTTTGTTCGTTCTTATATTCGCTTCTGGTTCACTTTGGTGGACTTTAATGTTCGCTGTTCATCACTTGGGGCTACCTTCTATTTTTCCCATTTCTAAAACATTTTTAAACATTCTAAAACATCGCCCTTCTCTCTGAGCCCGTTCCTGACTCAACCGTAGTGTCCCCGTTCCTGACTCAACCGTAGTGTCCCCGTTCCTGACTCAACCGTAGTGTCCCCGTTCCTGACTCAACCGTAGTGTCCCCGTTCCTGACTCAACCGTAGTGTCCCCGTTCCTGACTCAACCGTAGTGTCCCCGTTCCTGACTCAACCGTAGTGTCCCCGTTCCTGACTCAACCGTAGTGTCCCCGTTCCTGACTCAACCGTAGTGTCCCCGTTCCTGACTCAACCGTAGTGTCCCCGTTCCTGACTCAACCGTAGTGTCCCCGTTCCTGACTCAACCGTAGTGTCCCCGTTCCTGACTCAACCGTAGTGTCCCCGTTCCTGACTCAACCGTAGTGTCCCCGTTCCTGACTCAACCGTAGTGTCCCCGTTCCTGACTCAACCGTAGTGTCCCCGTTCCTGACTCAACCGTAGTGTCCCAAAGTGACCTCCACCTTTGTTTTACCTTGTTCTTTGGTTCTCTAGGAACCTGGGATCATGTTATACTATTGCCAGACATCACAGTTCTCTGCATCTCAGAATCTAAGTCAATAGGGGAAAGAAACTGACCTCGCGACCCTGATGTTTAAAGAACGTTACCCTAGACTATACTACGGGATCACCATAGCCCGTGCTGCTTGGAACTTTTTGTTCCAGGTAGAGAATCTTAAACAACAACAACAACCTATCTTGAGGTTATCTTGAGATGATTTCGGGGCTTTAGTGTCCCCGCGGCCCGGTCCTCGACCAGGCCTCCACCCCCAGGAAGCAGCCCGTGACACCTGACTAACACCCAGGTACCTATTTACTACTAGGTAGGGACATAGGGTGAAAGAAAGTCTCCCCATTGTTTCTCGCCGGCGCCTGGGATCGAACCCGGGACCACAGGATCACTAGTCCAGTGTGCTGTCCGCTCGGCCGACCGGCTCCCTAGACTATATGAAGGGTTACAGTGTGTCAACATTACGGGCTCACCATAGACCGTGCTACATGGACACTTCGTCCTGAATAGCTAAATCTTTAACAACAACAACATGCGTCAACAAGGGTCAGATGATGTCAAGAAGTAGATTAGTGATTTTGAAAGCCACATGTAAGAGGATAGTGAGATAGATAGTGTAAGATAGTGAGAAAGTAAGAGGATAGTGAGATAGATAGTGTAAGATAGTGAGAAAGTAAGAGGATAGTGAGATTCAGGTGTGTGTGGATGGTGACAACAGTGGTGGTGAGCACACGTGTTGAGGGGGGGGGGAGGGGGGGGGTAGTGGGTCCACTTGTTGCTCCTCAGACCAGCTGAGGCCCCCCTACCCCCACCCCCCTCTAGCACAGCTGTTGCAACCCCTTCCTAACTTGGCCCTCCCCCACACCTGACTTCCCCTCCCCCCCCCCCAAGCCCACACCTGTCAAAATGAACTGTTGCATGGTATGTATTGATTGGGTTGCAATTTGCAATGCGGTATGCCAAGAGGTGTTTTAAGAGTGTTCGCAATGATGATGATTATAATATGTTCTTGTTGTTGTTGTTTCAGAGCCGGAGAGTCGTGGATGAGTTTGATGAGTGGTGCGGGAGGCGAGTGGTGAGGGCTGCCTGGTGAGGCCCGCCTGGTGAGGCCCGCCTGGTAAGTGGTGGGTGATGGAGGGCGCCAGGTCGCTACTCTCAGACAGACTTGAGGCTGCCAAAACGCACCTGCAGGCCCACGAGTCACCCCCTGCCCCCCCAATCCCCCCCGAGAGGGTCAGGTCCCCCCTCACCCTTCTTCCGGAGAGGGTGAGGTCGCCCCTCACCCTGCACATGGATAGCGCCACTTCGCATCTCACCTCAGTAGCGGAGAGCTTCAAGACACACTTTCCTCAAGGGTCTGATGAAACTAAGTCCCTCCTGCTGCAGGGTCTGGAGGGTACCATGTCCCTGCTGGCTGCCCGGGGCATGGAGGGTACCAAGGCCATGTACCCTCTGGCCATGGACAGCCTGAGGGCCTTCCTACCCTATGGAGGCGAGTGCGTCAACTCTTATCTTCAGGAGCGACTGGACTCGTCTCTCAAGGGCGTCCGGGAGAGGAAGGACTCGTGTACACCGGACTCTCCGGGAGATGCTAAGCGAGTCTTGGAGCACCACAGAGAGCACAGGACTCACAGGAAGGTTGCTCACAGCCCAAAATCTCAGCTCTCTAACCCTAGGCATGACGCCCATCTTGTACACGCCATCAGGTTAGTCCTAACTTAGAATTCTAGTGTCGATTGATCTTATTATCAAGACAATATTAAGTTCTTTGAGATTCACAAATGCCAAATTATGTCAAGGATTAATAACATTATGGAAATTTGATTGCTAATGTGGAGTTTTCACTCTGTGTTGAACTACTTGGGCTGGACGGTAGAGCGATGGTCTCGCGTCATGCAGGTCGGCGTTCAATCCCCGAGCGTCCAAGTGGTTGGGCACCATTTCTTTCCCTCGTCCCATCCCAAATCGTTAACCTGTGATGGTGTGGGTGCTACACCCTGGCACCCACAACAACACCCCCCCCCCTCACCCTCCAACCATTGCCCTCCACCTGTCACCCCCACAACCCTCACCCCACAGCAGTCACCCCACAGCTGTCACCCCACAGCTGTCACCCCACAGCTGTCACCCCACAGCAGTCACCCCACAGCAGTCACCCCACAGCAGTCACCCCACAGCTGTCACCCCACAGCTGTCACCCCACAGCAGTCACCCCACAGCAGTCACCCCACAGCAGTCACCCCACAGCTGTCACTCCACAGCAGTCAACCCTCACAGTCCCCCCCCCCCACAACCCTCACCACCCCCCACAACCCTCACCACCCCCCCCCACAACCCTCACCACCCCCCCACAACCCTCACCACCCCCCCACAACCCTCACCACCCCCCCACAACCATCACCCTCCACTCCTCGCCTACACCAGTCTCTTGATGTATATATATATATATTTATCGGGTTAATTATTTTAATATGTTTCCGGCATAGAAAAAGAATTCAATTCACTTTGCTTCATTTCGCGCACAATTAATATTTATGAAACTCAAAATAGTTTGTGTATTTTTTGTTTATAAAGTGCGAGGGTGAGGGGGTGGAGTGGAGGGGGGAGGGGGTGGAGTGGAGGGGGAGGGGGAGAGTGTCAGGGGGTAGTATCAGGGGGATGGTGTGAGGGAGGTGCAAGTTACAGAAGGACATTGATAAACTCCAGGGGGGGGGGTCAAATAAATGGACACTAGAATTCAGTCCCAACAAGTGTAAGGTAATGAGAATGAAGTACAGCAGAAATAGCACCACTCCATAAAGGAGAAAATAAGGCAGAGGCAAAAAAATTACAGACCGATAGCACTAACATCACACATCATAAAAATCTTTAAGAGTGCTAAGAAGTAAGATCACAAAATACATGGAATCACAGCATCTCGACAACCCCGGACAACTTGGTTTCAGAACAGGAAGTTCTTGCCTGTCACAGTTGATGGGCCACTATGACATGGCATTAGATGCCATGGAAGACAAACAAAATGCTGATGTAATTTACACATTTTGCAAAAGCTTTCGACAAATGTGACCATGGTGTTAATGCCCACAAAATGCATTCAAAAGGAATTACTGCAAAAATAGGTAGATGGATCTACAATTTCCTGACTAACAGAACTCAATGTGTAATAGTCAACAGAATAAAATCCGGTTCATCAACCGTGAAAAGCTCAGTCCTCAGGGTACTGTGCTTGCTCCAGTACTTTTTCTCTTCCTCATATCGGACATAGACAAGGACACAATCTACAATACTGTATCATCCTTTGTAGATGACACTAGGATTTTCATGAGAGTAGAAAACAAAGGACATGGTAACCTTAAGGTAAGGAAAGGAGACCAGAAGGCATCTACATCATAAGAGGAAGGTACAGTAACTACAGGAGTCGGGAAAAAGAGAGAGAGATTTGGGAATGGATACAATCCCAATAGTAACACTAGTAGACAGACAGGATAACATCAGCAGGACATGGGATGCTGGCAAATAAAAGAACATCATTTAGACTCCTGAGACTAATGGACCCTACTACATTTAGAAACCTGTACAGTATCAGTACTCCTTCATAGCAATCTCTACAACATTTGTTAGATTAATACTGGAATATGCAGCACCGGTATGGAATTCACATCTTATGAAGCATAAGATGTAAAGAAAGCAAAATGTGAAAGATCTGGGAATTTTGTGATGATCTGGCATTTAGTGAACATAACCGAGCAAATATAGCAGCGGCCAGGAAAATGATAGGATGGATTATGAGAACGTTCAAATACAAAAACCTCACAGCAAGCAATGCTAATATTTACTATTCAAATCAATGGTGCTGTCCCGTCTTGAGTACTGATCAGTACTTACTTTCAGAGCAGGAGAGATCTCTGAATTAGAGGGAATACATAGAACATATACGACACATATACAGTAAATGATAAAACACCTAAATTATTGGGACCGTCTCATAATTCTCAAAATGTTCTCTTTGGAAAGAAGACTAGAAAGGTATTGAATAATATATACTGTACATAGAAGATACTTGAAGTCCAGGTCCCAAAGTTGTACAGTAGAATAACATACTGTACTGGAATGAAAGAGATGGAAGGAAGGAAATGCAGAATAGAACCAGTGAGGAGTAGGTGCATCATAGGCACAATCAGAGAACACTGTCTGACCATCAGAGGTCCACAGCTGTTCAACACCCTCCTAACAAGCATTAGAAATATTTCCGAAACAAAGGTGGATTTATTCAAGAGGCACTTATCTAAGTCGTTGCAAGAAGTACCGGACCAACCAGGCTGTGGTGGATATGGGGACCTGCGGGTCGCTCCAAGCAACAGCCTGTTAGACCAGGTTATCACAAATCGAGCCTGGCCTCAAGACGAGCTTGGGGAGTAGAACCCAGAACCCTCTCCAGGTATGCTCCAGGTAAATTGGAGCCTGGAGTAGGAGCATAGCAGGAGTAAATTGGAACCGAGTGCCACTTGTGTTAAAAAAATAATGTCTCTTGAAGGATATCATCATCCCAGTAGGTCTAGCCAAAGTATATTGAATCACAATTTATTTTAGTAGACCAATTTATCCAGATGCACAATACTCCTTGATGAACAGTGTAAGTTGCCCATTAGAGACTTGTGTGTATAAAAGTATGATTGCAGACAGATGTAAAGATATGTAGTAATTGCATTATTCCTCCAGGGACAACTGGCATGAAACCTCTTTACCTGTAGTTTACCTGCACTCAGTTTTGAGAATTGTTAGAATACCCAAGTGCAGCCTTGGGGGCCCAGGCTTATATAGTCAGCTGCAGCAGCCCGCAGGCCCACATCTCCACTACAACCTGACTGATCTGGCCTTTTCTGCAGAAATTTGTCCTGTTTCTAGAAAACATCCACATTTGTTCCATCAGTATTTCATATACTTGATGGAAGAAAATTTAAGAGCCACGGACCTCTGATGTTCAGTGTTCTCTGGTTGTGCCTTTGGCACGTCTTCTGTTCACTGGGTCTACTCTTTCTTACCATATTTTTCATTCCAGAAAGATTTTATTGTGCATATTTGGCACTTTTACTTTCCAATCTCTTTTATGTACAGTACAGTATATACTATATGATACCTCTTATCTCCTTTTCAGAGAGTTCATTTTGAGTGTATTGAAATGATGACAGCAATTTAGGTGTAGAAAAAAGCTGCTTATTTAACATTTTATGTGGGCGACCTCATACACACACACACTGAATATTACTTTATCAATGGTGTTCTTGCAGGGAATTACACGAGGAGGAGTTTGGTCTGGACGCCGTGCTACTGGCTGAAGGTGGCCACGTGGGTGCACACTGCGCTGTGTTGGCTGCTGCCTCACCCTTCCTCAAGTCTCTTCTCCTACATGCCAATGACCACCCTGCCATCATCTCTGTCACAGGTGCCCCTACCTCACTTTTGGTACAACTCTTTCATTTTCAGCCATGGTGCAATTAGTTTTCTTCAACTGTCATATTTTATATTTTTTATATTTTTATACATTGTAAATATTACAGCAATTCACTCCCATCAGGTACATCGTTGTCAACTCTGCAGGCATTGGTGACATGCTTGTACACAGGCAACATTCCAGCTGGTACAAGTCTTTATCATTTGGCAGAGGCTGCAAAACTTCTAAAAATGGATGAACTGAGTGCCGTCCTACAGAAAACTTTTATTGCTCAAGGTGGTTCAGTGTTAGAGTTGACCCGGCCCCTGCCAGCTTTGCGGTCTGCTTTATATGGCTCCCAGGGCTTGGCGCTACCCTTGGAGCCACGTACCGAGAAATCGGGCAAGAAAATCCGTAGCAATCGCCTGGACCAGATTCTCTACCAGAAACTTAATGTAAACCACTTGGCACCAGCTGATATTCCAGAACCCTGTCCAGTGCCTCCCCCTGATTCCTCCAGAGTGCCTGTCCTAGAATCTCCCAGAGTGCCTCCCCCAGACCACTGTGGTGGAATCTTAGGTGAGCTGTTAACTAAATCTGACCCCCTTAGGAGTGTATTTTCTAGTGGTGGCTACTCCATTGCTGACCTGGGGTTTGATTCTTCCTGCACTCCACTCAAGCCTCTCAACCTCTCCAAGCCTAACAAGAATCAGTCATCTTCCACTTCAGAAATGTCTTGTCAAACCACTTCCTATACATCTTCCACAAATTCCTCGACTTCCACTACAACATCTTGCAATACATCGGTCTCCAGTCTAGCTTCCAGTCTGGCTTCCCAGACTGACTTCGGTGTAAGTTGTGCAACCTCCCTAGCTTCTACCTTGCCAGGCAGTATGACTGGTCTTCTGCCCGCACTGACGCCCTCCAGCATCATGTCACCGTCTGCCCTTGCTTCCCTAACTTCATCTTCTGCATTAGCTTCCCTGGGAACTCAACATTCTGCATCTTCTGCTCCCTCCAAAAGCAAAAGCTCTAGTAATAGTGGAAGCAGCAGAAGTCGGAGTGGAAGCAAGAGTGGCAGCAGCGGGCGAAGCAGCAATAGCTGTCGGCTAAGCAGCAGCAGAAATTCTAGTCAACATAGCTTACCGTTGCTATATACTCTAAACAGTGGCATCATGACACCTGAAGTGGCCAACGAGGTGTGTGAACAACTCAAACGCAATCCTCAGTTGGCTTCCCTTCCAGGATTTGATAGCTTACACAATTTATCAAATTTGAGCAGCTCAGCCAGTCTTCAGAGTCTTGCTAATCTCCATAACTTATCAAGTTTACAGAGTTTCCCAACACTGTTCCCATTCTTGGCTCCCCCATCACCAGAGAGCCCATTGGTTGGAAATCAAGGCAGTTTGTCTGGAAGTAAAGATTGCCACATGTCGCCTGGTGCTCCCACAAGTGACCCTAGTCTAGCAGCTGGTACCACCTCCACTGAAGTGCCAAATGTTATGAGTCCAGCTTTAATGCCTTCTGAGGATCAGGTTGCTTTGAATTTGAGTAATAGTGCATTAACTTCCCAAAGCGAGTCTCCGAAGTCTACACAAACAGAAGAATTTAGTACTTCCATGCTTGCTCCCAGCAACAGTGCAACCCAAACTTCTAATGACACTAGCGCAGGAGTGGAAGAAAGCGATGAAGCAGCACACACAGTCCACCCGCCTCCCACTGAAATATCTACCAGCTGTCAGACTTTACTCTCGCAAAACTCCCCCGACTCTGCACTCGATGCGGACCAAAATGAAAATAGCAACACCCCCACCACTAATAGTAGTGTAGCGTGTAATATGAGCCACACTAGCAGCAATACCATCATTAGTGGTAATATGGATCCCAGTAGTCTTCCTCTTTTACTGATGAGCTCTGGAGCAAGTTTAGCAGGAATGACACAATCACAAACTGATCTGCCAACAGTTACTGATTTGTCTATGGATACCCACTGCACTACACAACAGGTGAGGACCATTTGATCAAACGTGAATATACAAACTACGATTAATTGCATGGCGTAAACTGGTATCTAAATATTTATATTCCATATATGTATCAGTATCAGTGAAGTTTTATTACAGAACCTCATTAAAGAAGAATTAGGGTAAGGTCAAGATGTAAATATTGTGACATTTATTGAATTCTTTTTGTTGTATTTTGACAGGAGCCAAGTGTGTTGTCCCCAGAAGTTATAGACTGTACAGATGATAATGGTATAGAAGTTATTGAAGAAATCCCTCCTGGCATTAACAGAAACCAAGTTCATGCCCGCAAAACCCTGTATCATTCTGGACATGTTAGTAATAGCAATATTGTACTTTTTTTTAATATATACATACCTTCTTTGCAGAAAATAATTTTGGTAAAAATTTGTGTATTGTATATGCATACATGTGAGTCCAAGGACACGAGTTCTCTCTCACTACAATGCTTCAATACTTCCTCATATATATACCGGTACATCAACATTATTTTGTTTTAATTGTGCAAGCATATGTTCATTTTTATTCTCCTGTTATCCACTTTCATGGGGTGGGAATGATTCAGTGTAGAGAAAAATGGTTAAAAGGGGTTATATATACTAGTATATACTCTACTTAATAATTCAACATTACCACATCATGGTAAAAATTGAAGGGCAAAGAGGTAGAATGTCTGGTTGACAAAGCCCGGGTGCATGGGGGAATTGTGTGAAACCTCGGTTTGTGCTACAGAGAAGCTCCGGGATCCTCGTGAGGGCAGTAGCACTCCAGGTTGCAATTCTTTTGCAATGTCGTGGTGCAGTTGACTGAGGCTCGTCTGGGATCATCCCAGATGTAGGTTCGAACCCTCATCACGGCCCTTATAGATTTGTTCATTTGATATGTCACGCTATTGTGATTTCTGTGTGTAATGACTGATAATATTTATTGTCTGTTATTAGAAGGTATGTCATTGGTATGTTATAAAATTTAATGTAAATGAATTCTACAGATGGGAAGGAAGAGGAAGGGGTGTGGAGAGTGTGAGGGTTGCCAGGTGGTTGAAGACTGTGGCCAGTGTAGATTCTGTCGTGATAAAGCCAAGTTCGGAGGACCAAATAGACTGAAACAAGTGTGTGTGTACAAACGCTGTGTACTCGCAGAGATTGAGCCAGAAGATGCAAAGAAGAGACGAAAGGTAAAGGGGAATTTGAAATATAGAAATGTTGAAATTTTCTGGATATTATGAATGTTTTTTACATTAATATGTTATCCTAAGGTATCCCACTTACTTACCCCATTTGGTAAGATTCTGCTGTCACTGGAGGAGTAGACATGTAGTCAATCAATGTGATGCTTGATGTATGCACACCATAGAGAACCATTTAGACATTCTTATAGGACCACATTGACACTACAGAGTATTGAAGGAAATACTCCAGTTAATGTGAGTTGCACAAAGCTCAAATCATACATTCAAAACGTCTTAACAAACCAACTTCATCAACCCTAAGATGACCAAGGAGGGTCAAAGATGTTGGAAAAATCAGAAACTTCAACTATACTGTAAAGACAGCATGCCACCATTAATCTTCATTGTGTTCAAACAGCATTGCTATTTGTCGTTGATACGACATTGCGCTCCCTGATTCTGGTCTGCTACTCAAGGCCCAACTCTCAGAGAGTTCCAGTTCATTGTGATCAGCAAGCTACACTGTTCACTACAGTATATGGTACTTGCTTGATACCTGCTTGATGGGGGTTCTGGGAGTAGTTCTACTCCCCAAGCCCAGCCCGAGGCCAGGCTTGACTTGTGAGAGCTTGGCCCAACAAGCTTTTACTGAGCAGACTCACTTTATGATTGATTTCCCTTCTTCCTGTCCTTACATGTATGAAGATTGTTTCCTCATCAGGACCAGTGTGAGGTTTGGTGAAGTGGACTGTGTTGTGGAATCAGAAGGCTAGTGTAGTAGGCAGTAAACAAGCCAACCTGGTTGATACCTGGTTGATTGATACCTGACAATCTTATGGTTGCCAGTGAAAGCTTTTATAGTTTTTTTTATGATTTGAACTTCAGCATTCTGCTTTAGTTATAATGATTTCCTCCAGTGCTCCCTTGTGACTCCCTTGTGGTGGTTCCAAGGGACCAATGTCCCTGCGGTTATGTTTTATATTTCCCACGAAGTTGGTACATCAAATGTCATCATATCTGACTGCACAATTCGCTCATCAAGTGATAGCGAGATATTTCCTTATTGGTGCAACCAAATTAGTCTACTCAGAAATGCACTTTTCATATACTGTACATTCAAATCCTGTTATTTGTGATAGTTATGCTTGTAGGAAAAAAGTACTAGAATATTAACAGCTCTTTAGTTCATAAAAACATTTTATGATAGAAATGCCTCCTGAACAAGAAAAATTTATATTTAACTTTGGTTGCAGACAAGTGGAAAAAAGGGTCGTGGAAAGTGTGGAGGATGTGACGGATGTCAACGCACGAGTGACTGTAATGAGTGCTACGCGTGCCTCCACAATGCTGCAGCCCAGCCCCCGGCCCGTAGGAAGGTAAACCATTACAGTATAACTCATATGTATTATTCATTAACAGATGGTTAAGTACAGTGAAACCTCAAGTGACGAGCGGCTCCAGTTACGAGCAGGCCACTTGCAGAAAATATGTCTCGACTGACGAGCTTTCCCTCGATTAACGAGCATTCCCGCTGGTTCTCGGACACCTCCAACAACCGTGTTTTGTTGTCGTTTCGCAAGACGAGTTTTTCACATGACGAGCTCGGTGCCGGAACAGATTAAACTCGTTAATCGAGGCGCCACTGTACCTATGGAGAGTGAGGCCACTTTGCTGGGGTGTAACCTGTATGAGCCTTAAACCTATAGTCAGTGTAATCTTGCCATCAGGTTGGTATTGGTCTTGAAGGCCAGTTCTGTGATGTATTTCAGGATATAGTGTGTATATACCTATCCACTGTACTGCATTTGTCTTTTATTTGATAGATTTCCCCAATTACAGTAACATGTAAGAAAAAAAATTTTCTTTCATGAATTTATAGATAATGTAGCCAGTTCAGTAGTCTGGCTTCTTTGTGTCAGATTTATTCACTTGAACCCCAACACCTCGGGTGAGTTAACCTCTGACAAAATGAATCGTCAGATTACTGAACCAATCAGTTTTGTTTCAAACTTTAATTTTAATGTCCAGAGTACTCTCTGGACATTAAACTAGCACTAGTACCTAATACACTCTGGGCAACTTACATTGATGCCGAGTACTCTCTGGGTGACTCGCATTGATGCCGAGTGTTGAAGTAGAATTGGTAAAGGTTGGAATAAGCGAAGACCATGTCCTGTTTACTATGCAGAATGTGTAATAACGCGTCTGAAAATTTGCACCCAACCCACACATCGGAAAATAAGATGATGTTTCATTCTGGAAAGAATTTATATTTAACCATTATCATGAACATTATCATGACCATTATCATGACCATTATCATGACTTGATAATGATCCAAGAGGGAACAACAAAATGTGATCACTTCCTTTATTTTCAGATGTGTGGAGTTGGTGTTTTTATTTTATTATTAGCAAATGTCTTACATAAAGAGGTATAAGCACATACCACTTTATGATGAATTTATGATGAATTGATATTTGATGAATCAGGTGTGCGAGATGAGGGTATGTGAACAACAGCAAATGGAAGAGGTGCGCGCAGCACTCAGTGTGGCCGGGGAGCCGTCCCCGTACTCTACCGACTCGCTCATGGCCGAGACTATGGGCATTCTCTCTGGAACATCCAGTCCCACGCCAGATGGTCAGCCAAGTACACACAATGATAAAATGAAGTTAATGAGAAAAATGCTGAAGAAGAAATTTGCCCAGCCTTACAGCCGGGTAAGCCCGTCTAAGGTCGGTGGCAGCATGCAATGCTGATACTCTTTTTTTTCTTTTCTTTTTATGATTTTTGCGTGTATGAGCATCCTAACACAACTCACTAATTGAACAATATCATATACAGTACAGTACTTAGCTAATAATATTATTTTTTAAAACGACGTTTTTTTGTTTTTCCAAGCAAATTTAATTTTTATATACTGTATACAGTTTTCATCGTGGTTTTAGAAACAGGTATATCTTTACATACATACATACATACATACTGTACACAAACTTTTCCTTTGATGCATGAATCCCCCAAAATGTTCAAAACAAAGAAAATCCTTAAGTCTATAATAAACGTTATGAATGTGCATTGTCGCCAAACTAGCTACTTGCTATATAGTCGTAATGGCTTGGCGCTTTCCCCCGATAATTTCCTTCCTTTCACTTTTTAGTTTCTCACTCACCGTTCCTTCGAGAAAAAGCTGCAGACAAGGAGTCAGAACAGAAATTATGAACAAGGAAAATATAATTTGACTGAAGCTATTTCAATTTTACAGGTGCGAACCAAATACTACTGCGGGGAATGCCCTGGATGCCAGACGACTACGCCGTGTGGTAACTGTCTGTATTGTGAAGACATGCCCAAGTTTGGAGGACCTGGGCGATATAGACAGGTGAGCAGCAGGAGGGGGGGGGGGAGGGGGAGGGACACTTTGTGGTCTGGAAATACTGTAGTGTGAGAAAGGTGGATAAAGTGAAAAGTGATATTAAGTGATGTATTACATACGCTTTGAAGAGAAAGGTACAGATGATATAAGGAGAAGAGGAGTGTATGGATGTTTTAGTTAACAATTTACATAAAATATCTATATAAACTGTGTAAACATGTAAATTATGTAAACATCCCCCCCCACCCCATGGACCCATCAAAGAGGGGCTATTGGGGGGGGCTGACTTTTTTTGGGGCCTGTCCTTGGACTCAATGCATGGGTATTTCTAGGCAGTGTTCCAAGGTCTTCAGCCCCCTTCCTTTAGTGTTGGGGAGTTTGGGGGGGGGGGGTATCCAGGATCAATCATCCCTGGCTCTACTCAGTCATTGCAAGGTGGTTGGGTGCTAGAGTTGTTGCCTTAATTCCTTTCATGTGTAAATCTCCAATCTGTTCTTGGTCACCCAAGCAGGACATGCCAGACCTTTGAATCATTTCCTACCTCTTGGGGCTGTGGCACTTCATCCTTTGAATCATTTCCTACCTCTTGGGGCTGTGGCACTTCATCCCATGTTCAACTTTCCATACGTCTACCTTCAGTCAAGTTAATCTCAAAATAATAATAATAAATTAATAATAATCCTTCATATGGGGAATCCTTTGAATCCTCCATAGATGTTTGAGCTTTTCCTCAGCTACTCCTCCCTGTGTGTGCTTCTGGATGCTTCCCAGTATTCTACAATTTTTTTGGGTTGGCTTTCTTGTTCTATGATACACCTATAGGCCACGACTAATTTATGCTATATTCTATCTTAACATAATTGGATATTTTCCCACACATGTTCCCTCTTCTTTAGGGGGCTTGACATGCTGATTGCAATCCCTGGCCATTCTTCTGACGTTGGTGGAGCTGGTTAGGCTTTGTCTGGGGCAGGTTCCTTCCTTTCAATTCTGTGTTTGGGGTTGTGGTAGCTCTGCCCAGAATGAGCAGTGTAACCGACATTTTGATGTGTTGCACAAGACAAAATAACTTTTGTTCAAGACCAGGGGATTAAGGAGATAAGTACACAGTGCTAATCACAACTGACGAGTACATAATAAGTACATATGTACAGTACGTACATAAGTACTGACAACTGATCAACCAGGCTGTGACTCATACGTCAGGCTGCGAGTAGCCACGTCCAACAGCCTGGTTAACCAGTCCATCAACGAGGAGGCCTGGTCAACGACCGGGACGCGAGGTTGGAAAGCCCCAAAATCACCTCAAGGTAACCTCAAGGTAAGGTACCATGGTGGTGTACAGGTGGAACTAATGGGTGAACTGCTTTATGATGAGGTGGTTCATTCAGCTCTGTCTCTCTTTCTTGTTTTCTATGTTTTGTTTATCATGCCAATTGTCTGTTTTGGCTTGTCTGGTGTCCTTTTCTTGCATTTAGTGATCTAATATCCCCTGATCATTGCACCTCTGATAAGAGGGAACAGCTTTTGGCCCCTGGCCCCAATAGGCTTCAATGACTCATGTGCCTGTTGTAGATTGAATTATGTGGAGCTATCCAGGTAGCTAGCAACAGAGACATTTCATTACATTCAGTGCTGTGTTTTTAATTTTTGTTTTTATCTTGCAGAAATGCGTAAAGCAGTTGTGCGTTTATCATCCACGTCTACAAGCACTAAAGCTCTCCAACCGTAGCAAGTTGACGTACGATGAACAGCACATATCCCACGAAACGCTTTCCCATTTAGGTGCTGCTTTGACGTGCGCGGCAGAAGAAGCCATTGATTTGGGATGTGGAGACAGTCGAGAGAATTTGGAAGAGTTGGAAAGTTTAGAACCTGTTGATGAGGCTGATGATATAACAGAAGGAGAAGACAGCAATGCCACTATACATGTATGTTGGAATTTAGACAAAATATTGAAACAATACAATGGGATCAAAGCTGCACAGATACATCACATTCTTGCAGTCTCAGTCATAATTAAAATAGATTAACTTGTTTCAAATATCGGTAGAGATACGAAGTTACAGTGCACTGTGTGTATACTAGTATGTGTATATATATATATATATATTATATATATATATATATATATATATATATATATGTGTGTGTGTGTGTGTACAGTATATTTATGGATACAAGGTATGTAGCTTTGTAGGTCAAATCTTTAAATATTGGGCCATCTGTGGGCCATCTTTAAATATTCAAACAAATTCAGTGATTAAAAGATATTTCATATATAATTCGTATTAATTTTAATTTTTTTTTTGTTTGCAGGTTGTGAATTCTATGGAAGAAGTAAGATTAGTAAACAGAGAAAGGCAAAAATATAAAGTTGACTGTGCTCCAGTCACTACTGATGTGTGTAATGAAATGGTGAACATTTTGCCAGCTGCCATAGACATTATTTCTTCTAGTAATGTCAACACATGTACTGCCATTACAAAAGCCGCTAGTGCCATTTCTACTTCCGCTTCCACGTCCACACTTAACCTAACCCCAGTTTGTACTCCCATCACTCTGAAAGTTGCAGCCCCTTCACCCATCCCTAGTCAAACTATTATACCGTCTTCAGTGCCAACAACAATTGTTGATAATATTAGGCCATTCAGAACAACAGTTGTTGAAACCACTAAGCCACTTGATGGCGCCAGGCCGCTGCCAACGACAGTTCTTGATGGCGCTAGGCCGCTGCCAACGCCAGTTCTTGATGGCGCCAGGCCGCTACCAACACCAGTTCTTGATGGCGCCAGGCCGCTGCCAACGACAGTTCTTGATGGCGCCAGGGCACTGCCAACGCCAGTTCTTGATGGCACCAGGCCGCTACCAACACCAGTTCTTGATGGCGCCAGGCCGCTGCCAACGCCAGTTCTTGATGGCGCCAGGCCGCTGCCAACGCCAGTTCTTGATGCCACCAGGCCGCTGCCAACGACAGTTCTTGATGCCGCCAGGCCGCTGCCAACGCCAGTTCTTGATGGCGCCAGGGCGCTGCCAACGCCAGTTCTTGATGGCGCCAGGCTGCTACCAATGCCAGTTCTTGATGGCGCCAGGGCGCTGCCAATGCCAGTTCTTGATGGCACCAGGCCGCTGCCAACGCCAGTTCTTGATGGCACCAGGCCGCTGCCAACACCAGTTCTTGATGGCGCCAGGCCGCTGCCAACACCAGTTCTTGATGTCACCAGACCGCTGCCAACACCAGTTCTTGATGTCACCAGGCCGCTACCAATACCAATTCGTGATACTGATAGGTTAATGTCATCAGTGGATGTTGATACCATCAGGTCCATGCCAAAATCATCTGATACCACCAGGTCACTGCCAGCACCAGCTCTTGACACTACTAGGGTAATTCCAGCACGGGTTGCTGATACCATTGGATCAATGCCACCAGCAGATTTTGATGCCATCTCTTCAGTGGCAAACAAAACTCTTGATACCACTAAGTCACTCCCAACACCAACTTTAGAGACCACAAAACCCTTGCTAATACCTACTCTTGATATCACCAAGCCACTCTCAACATCAATTGTTGATAACACAAAACCACTGCCAACATCAGTCATTGATACCACTAGGCCACTGCCATCACCGACGCCTGATCCAGAAGTAACAGAAATAACTGAAAACATCAGTGATGTTGTAGAAGGTGATTTAGATGATGAAGTTGACAATGGTGATGATGAGGAAGAGGTTATATCTGACGCGTCGGATGTTCTGTCACCGCCATCTACTCCTTCTCCTCGACCCCGCTTACGTGGAAGAGGACGTTATCGGGGTCAAAGCCGAAGCAAAGGGAAAATTGCTAAAACGGAGAGTGTCAGTATAAAAAGAGGAAAGCGAACCCTTCGTAGAGGTCGGCGACGAAGAACTCCTCGCTTTAATTTGGAGCCAGATGACAATTCTGGTAAGTAAAGCATTGAATAGTTGTTTATAAGTACAGTGGAACCTTGGTCTACAAATTTAATCCGTTCCAAGAGAGGGTTTGTACACCGAAAATTCATATACTGAAACAAATTTTCCCCATGAGAAATAATGTAAATTGAATTAATCCATTCCACACACCCAAAAATATTAACTTAAAATAATACATTTTATATAGAGTACTACTCATATTTTTTACTATATGATGATGATGATGGTTAATGTCATCAGTGGATGTTGATACCATCAGGTATCTATATATATATATATATAGAGATATATATATAAATAATATTGATACCTATATCAGCATGAATATATGATAATGGCAACTTAAATGTTGATAGGCAAAATATATATATAATTGATGCAAATTTAAAGTTATACAATAATTAGTGCAGTAGGGGCAGGCTAGGTCTTCATGTGAAGTGGGGTTTTGAGGTGGGGTTTGCTTACAAAGTGAGCTGGAGCCATAGATGCGAGGCAGGTTTATTATGAGCGAGTGACGTGGTCTGGGGTCACGCTTGCAAGATACGTTGGTGCCATGTTAGTGTGGAGGACTGGGTCTGTGGTGTTTATTTAGGTGGGTTGTGTTCATGATTTTTAAGATGATCATGGTCCTTGGCTTGTGAAACAAGTTGAGTGCATGCATGTGAGGTGTGCTGGGCCATAATTATGGGGTAGGCTCTTGCTTGTAATGTGAGTTGGGTGTGTGGTGGGTTGGAGAATTGCTTTCAAGGCATACTGGGGCAACTCTCTCTCCCCCTATGATGCTGGAGATGCATTTCTAGTTATGTTACAATCTTGACCTAATTAAACGTTTTCTTTCACTAGATTATGATGACCAGTTCATGCTGGAGGGCGAGACCCCCAGTAAAGAGCTTTTTGCAGAAGACAAAGGTAGCACAACAATCACACTGAAGAGTCGCCAGACCTCACGAGCGAAAGTGAATGACAAGATTGATAACGAAGGGTTTATTGGTAATGAAAATCCAATCAATGACGAGGACGACGACATATTTGCAAATGTTTCAAAGGTAGAAAAGTTGACCATAGAACCAGATATCTTTGAATTCCAAGACTCTCAAGAAACTGTGATTGATAATAAGGGGGAGACAAGAGACTCTGTTATGATGAAACATAGTGGTCCATATGTGTTTCAGGATGAGGAGCTTAGTCAAGGAGGAAGGGATGTGAACGAGAATGTAGGAACTGTAGGGGAGACGGCCTCTGCATAGCACTTGCTCTCAACATCCCTGAAGCACTCTCATATTCCAGTACAACTTACCAGTGAATAAACTTGCCAAGTGTGAGTGATGGTAAAGCTATGTGTACAGTGCATACATTATATATATGTTATATGTGCTTAGACATAAGTCTGTTTTTGTTTCTGTTTCACAGTGCTTCATATTGAGAATGTTGATGTTATATGGCTTTGGATTCATTGCTTGTTTGTTTTCAATTGCTCATTAACAGAATATTGCAGCATATATTCTGATTCAAGTTTAGTTCCTTTATTTTGAAGAGAAATTAACAATGTTAAAACTGAGATTGTAAATTGATTGCTCTCCTCTTAAGTCAAGACCAGTTCACTAGTATATGGTTGGTGGCGTACGATTCCTTCAGTTTCTATAAACTGTTGTAATACTTTTGAGCTAGTCAAATAGTGACCTTTGATGAGTAGAGAAGTTACTGCAGTCACCCCCATTGTGCCATGGAAGAGGAATTACGAGGTGGAAAACAAATAAAGGGTGATATTGTATACTCATTCTGATAGCTTTTACAGAAATTTGAAAAAAACTTCAGAAGTGATACCCATATTTAATGTTGAAAAAGGGGCAACTGTTCATTGTTTATTTTGAGGATGCCTTTGAATCTCGTAAGTGTCCAAAAACCTACAAAAATTAGTTAAGTGCCATTTTTTTGCTGCCTAGTTGGACAGATATAATATAAGATGAACTTTACAATTCTGCAAATATTCCCTAAGTCTTTATTTTTTTGGAAAAAGTACAAAGTCATGTCTCCTTGTGTAAGTGATAAGCTACTAATGCGATGCCGACAGCTTTTACAGTCTGGTAGTGATAGCATCGTGTGAAGCCAAGTGTTTTGTTAGTCGTTGAGTTATTGTTCTTGTCAGTTTACACTGAAGATTTACTCTCTGGAGAGTTTATATATGATGAGAATGTGCTATATGTGTGATAAAAAGCTATCAGATTACCTAGACAAGTTATATCGCTTGAGAATTTATTGAATATATTTTCAGTTTCCTGAAAAAAACAATGTGTAACTATTTGCTTTTAAGTTTGTTAAATAAGGATAGCCACTCTGTTAAGAGCTTGTGATTGTATATACACTTGGGATTCCTTGCTATCGTGGTTTCAGCATCTGCGTGTTTGCTTAAAGGTCGTATAATATTATATAATATTACTGTATTTTGTTACAAAAGCTACAACTGCTCCATGTTTGGTGTTCCTATATTGTTCTTAGTTACTATAGGATGTAGAGTTATATTGAAAATAGAGTTTTGCCATATATAGTACCTAGATATATTTACATAGCAACTTGTGACCAGTATGAATGATTATGAAAACTACAATCTTTTGTCTTCATCTGTTTGTAGCGAGTACTGTTTATTTCTTTAATATGTTGGTTGTTCCTGCACATTATTCAAGATATTTTTGACTGATTTTGAAATTTTGTGAAGAAAAACATAAAATATAATTGCCATATTGTTTAGAAAAAACTAAAAATGATAGCTGCATGTATTTTGTTAACTGCACAAGAGTCTGGGCAAGTCACTGCACGCATATCCTTATCATGGAGTTACTAGTCGATATTTTTGCTCGAATGTGTGTTATAGATGCTTGACATTGTCTTTTTTTTTCAATCATTTATTACAGTTACCATATCGTGACAGACATAAGTATACGAGTCTTCTTAACAGTTAGGGGTCATCTGATGATATATTTGGGGGGGGGGTGAGATTTATTGTTTACTGGGGGATAGTAAACTATTACATTTGTTTAAAATCTAACTCATTATATTGAGGCACCAGGGAATCAAAAAGCACAGAAATTAAACCGTTATTACATGCTGTGATTTTGATATCTCCATCTGCAACACACTTTGATATATAAATACATACATATAAACACACTTGAGGGGTGTCCAGTGTTGCTCAGAAATGAGGGATGTCACATTCACTATACACTATCTTTTTCACTGTAGACTTCTTCCCTACACAGAAGGTGTCCTTTGCCACCTTCTGTACCCTACACCACCTTCCATACCATTCATCCTCCTTCCCTGCCCTTCACCATAACCTCTACATTTCATCCCCGTAATCTTAGTAATGATGGAGTCTTTATTAACCGAGTTGGGTAAATTAGTAAGATTTGGCATTTCATTCAAAAAAGGAGGGCGGGGTGCATAGGCTCAACCCCATCCTGCCTACCTGTACCTGAATTGTACCTGGAGTTTTGGGAGTTCTTCTACTCCCAAAAGCCCAGTTAGTCCGGCACGCCTTACAGAAAACTCTCCATTTTTTTCTTGAAGACTTCCACTTTTGTTCCAGCAACATTTCTTATACAGTACTTGCTGGTAGGACAATGAACAGCTGTGGACCTCTGATGTTCAGACAGTGTTCTCTGATTGTGCCTATGGCACCTCTGCTCACTGGCTCCACTCTGCATTTCCTTCCATATTGTTCACTCTGCTTTGAGGCAAACTCCAAGCATCTGGCACCCAACCTCGGACACACATTCTCTCATACCATATGGATATACATGCACAAATGGATATGCATACACCTAAACACACACACACACATGTACTGTAAATACATACATACATGCACTATATATTAGTAGTCATACTTTATAGCCAGAACTGCACTACTTGGCCAAGTAAGCAAGACTTTATTTGCATAACAGAAATTTCAAATATTTCTTTCCAAATATTCATTTTCACAAGAAGTTGCAATAATGTGATATATCAGTGAGAAAATCACTGGAGCAGAGTGGAGATTGAACCAGCGAGTTGGTGAATGCCAGACGAGTGCCATACCCCTGAGCTGTGATGCTAAGAGCTATTCACCCCAAAACACTACTGTGTCCTCCAAGGATTCTGTAGGCCCAACCTGTTGCCACAGTTTTTACAAATAACCTATATGCACTCTGGAATGGGTATGGAGTTCTCCACCATTTCACTCCTTTCAAATATCTTAGACATGGTTGTGTCCCAAGTTGAATAGCTTTTTTAGAACGTCATGGCTCAGGAGTACGATGCGTGTCTGGCATTCACCAAGACACTGGTTCAATCCCCATTCTGCTCCACCAATTTTCTCATTAGTTAATTCTTAATAATAATAATAATAATAATAATATATTGCGAACATGAATTACAGACTTGAGAAAATTAACCAACCGCATGTTAATTTTAACTTGAAAAATACAACGAAAAGACTATCATTCCAAAATGAGAATATTTGAAACGGTTATTTCAGGAAAATTTGGCAATTCTGGTTATTAGGTGTACTGTTTATATATATATAGTGTATGCATGTATCTGCTTATTTATGTAGGAGCAGAGATAGATCTGTCATTAAATATGCATTTGGATGTTATTTGCCAATAAGTTAACAGTTTGTTAGCAAGTTAACAAGTTGTAAGAATATTTAAACCTTCATGAAAATTGAATGCCATTGACACTGAATGATCAAGTGAATATTTTGATTTTCTCCTGCTTGGTGCTTTGATATCAGATCAGTATCGTATTATTAACCTAACTCAAGTCCCGGACAAATGGGGAGAATCGTAGCATCAAGCCTTAAAAGCTAATGCACTTATTATTTAATAAAGCATGATATAATTGAGCCCATTAACTTGTGTGTATGTTCTGTGATGTTTCATGGCAGCCTCCGTAGATTATAATTGTCTGCCAAATCTCATCACTTTGATGCCAAATTTGATCATGAGAAAGACATAATATATTAAGCACAGTAAAAGCTGAGTGGACATGAAATTAATTTTTCATAGAAAATGTAGCTCTTATTATGACATTATCCTCATTTAGCTCTTCATTTTTCTTTAGGAATGTATGCCTTAATCTGTTGTTGTTCTACTGCAACATTACTCTTTGTGTTGCATTGATTACAAGTGTTGCTATTATGTGTTGAATACTCGAGTTCCTCAATTACTACGGTCACGTACTCTGGAGCACCGTGATGGTGTCATCTTCTAATGCACATATCATGCCCCTGGAGGCATTTACAGGGTATCTAATTCCTCTTGTAATTTAAATAAATCAGAGGTTGTCACAGATAATTTATGTATATTACCCATGAAATATAAATTATTTTTATTGTGCTGGGTCAGAGTAATAAGTGTAGTCTCAAAGATTTACAGAATAGAAATAAATTTTTAAATTTCACTAGCAAATGTAAGTGCAGCTTTTTATGCAGCAGATTAATAAACTGTAGCACAATACTACAGAATGTTTTAGCTGTTCTTGCCAAGTAAATTTTTTAAAGTACTAATATTAATACAGTATATCAGTAGGGAAATTTTATTTAGCCTGTATGGGGCTTCAACAATACTTATATGATAATTACATGTTTTGCTTAAAAAAAATTGTAGCAAGCCATATATACATGTTCTGATATTAAGAAAAAAAACAGGGTACTTAAAGATGCATTTTTTATAGAAAATAATTTTTTTTTCTTTAAACCATAGGTGATTTCTAATGTGATTTTTTCCATTTACACAGTAATGCTTCACAACTCAATAATTTGTATTTCTTAATTTGTCTTGGTATATATTACTCCAAGAGCTTTATTTACAATCACCTCACTTGATTCAATGTTATTACAAGTCCCTCAGTGTCTTTTACAGAAGGATATTTAGTGCAAAACAGTTTCCTGAAACAATGAAGTTCTTGTAATTGGAACTGGTTTCAATCTTTAATTACAATTTCCCATAGTCATTGCCCATACAAATTTTAGTGAATAAATTGTGTTAACCAAACAAGGACTAGAAAAGTCTCTGACAAATTTGGGATGACTTTAAGTTGCAGTACTGACCCCTGCCTACGAGCTGTGAGACTCCAAGCCTTTCTGTACTACACAACGTTGCCAAACTTGCCGCACGGTGTTCAGTGTAAGTCTCAATAAAGCATATGCAAACATCTTGCTCTTTATACCCTAATTATTATGATTGCATCTGTGTGAAGACTGTGTGTGATATCCATGTTAACTTTCCTCAAACCCTAGAGACATATTGGTGCTTTATGATGTGAATAGCCTCACTGTGCTCTCTCTGGGAAATAAACCAACCCATCCTCATACTCGACTGTCAGGACACCTGACAGCCAAGTGAACAGCGCTTTGGATTCGTAGTCCTGAGGTTCCGGGTTCAATCCCCGGTGGAGGCAGAGACAAATGGGCAAAATGGTTTTCACCCTGATGCCCCTGTTCCCCTAACAGTAAATAGGTACCTGGGAGCTAGACAGCTGTGGGCTGCTTCCTAGGGATGTGTAACAAAAAGGAGGAATGGTCAAGAACCGGGCCACCGGGATGCTAAGCCCCGAAATCATCTCAAGATAAGATCCTCCTGTTTAGATAGTACCTATTGTGATATCAATACTGTAGTCAGAATTCGTACGTTCTTAGTTTTAAGATAGTACAATATACCGACTACTAAGGAATTCTTTTGAAATAAATGAAGCTAAAACACAAACTTAAACATTCCTAGGCCTAACATAGCACAGATATGTGTACTATATTAGGCCAAGGGAGGTTAGGATAGGTTTAGGTTGTCAAAGCAACACAAGTAAAATATATTCCCGGTTTGTCCAACTCGATAGTTCAAATTTTTACGTTCTAATTTTGTTGTACGTCGGTATACTGTGCGGGTATATAGTATCTACCAAAACAGGAGGATGGCCTGAAATAAACACACACAGTATTTGATGTTTTAAATTTAATCATTTTATATGTAAATTTGACCAAAAAGAAAAACAAAATTGCATTTTAACCAAATTGACCTCTAGTTTGAAAAATAAGATGGATATTTAAAATATTATTTTGTAGTGCTATTTATGAGCATAATTGAAGGTGACTAAATGTAAAGCTTCAAATATATGCAGTCATTTTATAAGGAAATTTGACTACAAAGAAAAAGGGGGATATTTCAAGTTTATTTTTCCAAGAGGGTCAATTTGGTTAAAGACATTTAAATTATTATGCTTGAGGCCTATTTTTCAGTGTACAGTACTGTACAGTACTTTGTTTAGTTATATTTATCGGGAAAATAGGCTAGAACATTAGCATCCTGCTAAACAAATCATTGTATGTACAAGTTAATTGCAATGTCTACTGTGTTAGTGTTTACTTTTTATTTTTATTTTGTGTACCTTAAAGTCATCTTGAGATGATTTCGGGGCTTTTTTTTTTTTAGTGTCCCCTCGGCCCGGTCCTCGACCAGGCCTCCACCCCCAGGAGGCAGCCCGTGACAGCTGACTAACACCCAGGTACCTATTTTACTGCTAGGTAACAGGGGCATAGGGTGAAAGAAACTCTGCCCATTGTTTCTCACCGGTGCCTGGGATCGAACCCAGGACCACAGGATCACAAGTCCAGCGTGCTGTCCGCTCGGCCGACCGGCTCCCAGAAAATGTAGACAACACTGGATGTAGAAAATAATGTCAACATTAAGATTGTGTTCATGTTCAAAGTAGCTTTAATTTTGAAAAATCTGTACTAAGAGGTTCTAAATAAAGTAATAACAGAGCTCTACAGTACTGTTGCAGAGGGTTTAAATCTGAGAGCTGCACAGTGAAATCCCTGATTAATAACGATACAAATATTCAGAGTAACATATGCCGAGTATGTCCGGAATGTTCCTTTGCCTTGGCAATACAAAACATGTCATCTGCAAACCTATTATGTAGCCTTTATGTATTATTAGGTCAGTATAATAAATTAACCTAAAGATCTTCATAAGAAAACAAAAATTATAGAAAAATTTGGTAATTGATGTGTATAAGATGCATCCTAATTTCACAAGAATTCTTCAAGTACTTTTCATTATACTGTACTGTATATTATATTGACTTTTCCACTGGAAAGTGATTTAAGTGTTTTTGTAGGAGAAAATGTATTGTTTTGCATGTGTAAACACAGTACAGTATACTGTAAACTTTAATATACTAGGAAATCTGTAGCAGGCAGCTACCACAACCTGAGGTGATGCTGACCTATGAAAATTCACAGAAAATACATTTATTCAACAATCTGATTTCTTTTTAAGAAATAATGAAGCAATCATTTGCTATCATTTTGATGTCAAAATTTTAAATATAGAATTCTAGATACTTGGGTATGGTAACAATTAGGAACCCAAATGAAATACAGGTACAACACACAATCTGATCTGCTAACAACAGGTAAAGTATCTGGCAATAACATTTAGGAAGTGTAAATGTTAACCAAACATTTAATCAAACAAGTAGTGTCTGCTAGAAATATGATAGGATGGCTTATGAGAACATTTTAAATCCAGGAATCCCACCACAATGCTCATACTATTCAAATCACTGGTGCTGTCCTGTCTCGAGTACTGCTCAATACTCACTTTGCCCTTTCAGAGCAGGAGGGATTGTTGAAATAGACGAATACAAGGAACATATATGGGACATATAGACATGATAATGCACCTACATTAGTGGGATTATCTCAAAGCTCTCAAAATGTACTCCCTAGAAATGAGGCACGAGAGGTACCTCATAATATATACATGTAAAATAATGAAGGGCCAGGTCCTAAATTTGCATAGTAAAATAACATACTGGGGTGAAACGATATGGTAGGAAATGCAGAAGTTACCCAATGAAGAGAAGAGGTGCCATAAGCACATTCAGAGCACTGTATGAACATCAGTGTCCATGGCTATTCAATATCCTCCCAGCAGTTTAGTTCATTTATTATGCACCCCATACCCATCTTGTGGGCGGTAGTGGAAAGGGTTACAGAGGCACATAATGGGCTCAGGGACTGAACTCCTCCCAGCAAACCTAAGAAATATTCCCAGCACAAAAGGGGACTTGTTCAAGAAAAAAATTAAGACATTCCTGCATGAAGTGCCGGACCGGGCTATAGTGACTATGTGAGCTTGCGGGCCACTTCAAGCAACAGCCTTTTGGACCAAACTCTGACAAGTCATGCCTGGCCTCGGGTAAGGCTTTGGGAGTGGTAGTACCGGTTCAACTCCTAGAACCCACTCCAGGTATACACTTCTCAAACAATGATGAGCTGAGTGTGGACAATGATTACAAATACATGTTACTCAGATCACAACCTAATTGACATTCAGGTTTGCATGGGCAATAGACCTGTGCAGTTTCAAATCCAAGAGAAGAATTCAGCAAATTCAATTTCAATAACAAATGGATAAACTGGGAACAAATAAACTAAGCCCTCACAGAAATATGCTGGAAAAGACAGCTAGATAAAGCAAACTTAACCAGAGCCTTGGTACTTGTGAAAAGGAGGAAATGTATATGTTTATCTCTCAGAATGTTCGGTAATATGTTTATTGTTTGTGATGTGTGTCTATGTATGAATTAACACGATGTACTGAACGGGGTGAGAATAGCTTGAGCTGCCTCATCCCTTTGTGTGTATTTTACCTCAATAAACTTATTTCAATTTCAACCAGTACCTTGAGAAAATAGGCACAGTATCACTAGAAATCTGTGCAAGTCACAGATTTCTAAGGAGAAAGAAAAAAAGCTGCAAACTGGAACGAGAACGGTGTTCCCTCTTTAGGCCACAAAAACAAATTGCAGAATGTTCCAAAATCTAAAGATCCAGCTAATACAAGGCCAATCTCTCTCCAAAGCTGTGCAGCTAAGACGGTTGAGAGAATGGTACTCAACAGACTTGAATGGAATTGCACCGATATATGTATGCCTATAGAAAAGGGGTTGGCACAATGGAATGTATCACCGCTGTTAGCTCACCTGAACGACAGACCAGGAATACTGATATTTCTGGACCTCGATAAAGCCTTTGAACTGGCCAGCGCCCCAACTATTCTCTGTTGCCTCATCGACAAAGAGGTCAAAGGCAACCTGCTCTCCTGGACCAAAAAATGTCTTAAACAGAGAAACAAGAGTCAAAAAACATGACAGAGTCTCTGAATACAAAAGCTACGAAAACGGAACACCACAAGGGAGCATAATCTGCCCCCTTCCTCTCCACTGTTTAATGGAAAGCATAAAGAGGCTGAAACTCCCAACAACACTGCAGGCTACTGAAGTATGCTGACGACTTGGTCATCATTATGGAGGGAACGGAGGAGTGAAAGAGGTGGTTACACTGGTGAAGATGCAAGTCGTAAGTACTAATTGTGGTGGAGTGGGTAGCACAAGATACAGTGATCACTCAGTAGTTCCCTGGTCCTACACCCTTGGGATCATCAGCCTTGGGAATACACATTAACCCAAGAATGTTTACTTGGGGCCAGAACCAGATTACGAGGGCAATCAAAGAGTCACATGGGAGCCAGTGAATGAGAGATCATAAGAGAACCGAGCGAAAAAATTACCAGAAAGTTAAGCAGTTTACATTTGCGGTGAGCTAGTTACACATAATTTGATTCCCTTATCATGCACTCCACACCCATCCAATAGGCTGCGGAAGTTTGCAGTCACGTTTCCTCTGCAGTCTTGCATACAATATGCAAACTCGGGATTTTTGCCAAAAGATTTCTGGTAGTACATCTTTCTGAATGAAGTACTCACACATTTCTTGAACATCCTGGCCGGGAAGGATTGACTAGGCGCCAATCCTTAACTGTAGCCTCTGTTCACCCAGCAGTGAATGGGTACCTGGTTGTTAAACAATTTGGCGGGTCGTATTCCGGAGAGAATTAAGATTAAGGACCTGCCCGAAACGCTACGCGTGCTAGTGGCTTTACAAGAATGTAAGAACTCTTGTATATGTAAACTCTTGTATTTGTGATAGTTCTGTCTCTAAGTTCGATGGCTGTTTCACTTTGAATTACATAGTGACGTAAGGTGTGTAAAACGTTGTGCTGATAGTTTATATTTGGTCAGATACACTTCAACGTGTGGGCACGGGAGACATCTCCCGTCACGCAGGGTGCAGTCGCACCTCCACAG